AACAGCAGCTTTAAAAAAGTGTTTAACCCCTCATCTGAGTATTATGTCTACGTAAGACTTGAAACACTGTGTCTTTCAAAGTCTGGGGCTTGCAGCATTCCTCCAGCCAACTAAAAACTCCGGCTGAGAGCTCTGAAAAATTGTTCGATGAAACACCACAGAAGGTTATGAAGAGTTGATCCAAAATGAATTGGAACTGAAAAAAAAATACAATCATGAAACAGGTCATATAGCAGCAGTGAATTATATTCTATGTAAAATTACATTAACTTTTCTTAGATACATACCACCGAAAATTTTACTTCGTCAGATATTTGTGTTTTAGAATGACCAGGCTGGGACTGTTGCGCTCTTACAATTTGCTCATAGTTTGTTTGCATTATACGCAAAGCCACCACTTCTTTTCTCAAAGCATTGCGTTCCTCCTCTTGTTTCTTCTTCTGCAACTGAAGGTATTGAATATAGTCTATAGATCGTTGGAGAATAATTGCTTTGCTGGGTTTATAACCTGAAATGAACAATACAATGTAAAGTTCATACTACTTTAAACTTACGACTTGTGCATATAAATATCATGGGTAAGTGAATTTAATTCAACATGTATACTTGTGCATATAAATATCATGGGTAAGTGAATTTAATTCAACATGTATATTTGTGCATATAAATATCATGGGTAAGTGAATTTAATTCAACATGTATACTTGTGCATGAATTTTGGCACCGAAAGTCATTGATTCAACTGCTTGTGACTTACTATTCACAACTGGCAACTTTTGACTGATGCATGTAACGGCCTGAGGGTGTTCTTTCAGGTTCATTTATATTATCATTTACAATTTGAAAATTGTGGAGTTGTGTTCACGATAAACATATGTTATTATTTACCTGAGACATCAGTTTGTTGGCATGTTGGAACCAATTCCTGCAAATTATCATAACCCTTCTTTATAGCATCTCTTCGCTTTTGCTCCGCTTGAGTATGGGCTTCTCTTCTACGTTCCTTATAGCTCATGGGAGAAGCTCTACTATCAAAATCTTCATCATCATCTACAAATTAAAGCACTGTAATATTTGGCCAAAACTTGATTTAACTTACCAGAATTGTTGGACGTTTTTACGTTGCTTGTGAACCGTATGTCACTGGACATCTCTATTTTTCAAACCAGTTAATGTAAAATATATTAAGACACTGGTAGAATATTCTTGTAGACAAAAACATACAACTACGATCTATTTATGATTCATTCCCGATAATCGATTAAAGTAAAATCTGAAAATTCCAACGAAGTATCGGTGTTGTTATTTTAATCTAATAAATTCCCAATGATTCCCATTCATTGACGTTTGGCATCATTGGTAATTGGTATCTTAATTGGTATCATGATATCACCAATCACAATCCGTAAGTTACGAAATAGTGTGGCACAGATTTACTGAGTCTGTGATATCAATGTTTGACATAAAAATGACATCAAAGATGTGTTCTGTGATGTGTGTTCCAAAAGTAAACAGAAAGGAGGTTTCGTGCTTCTAAAATCACCACTACTGTGGTAAACCAGGAAAACCGGGAAGCTACTGAACTAAACGTCAAAAAATTAACCGATAACTGGGTTGTGAAGAGAGTGACGGTTTTCAATTTGTAATATATGAACGGGTGAATGTTAAAAGGCACCTCGGTCACTTTTATGTTGTTTCGATAAAATAATCGACTAGTTTTGTAATTGAGGATCACATGTTAAATTTCACATATCTAGATGAATTATATCAGGAATTCAAAATTCAATGATAGCACCATGGTGGTGAACGCGAAAAAACAGATTCTACATTGGATATGAGTTATACCATAGTATATATTTAATAATTATTATAAAATTGCGGAATACTGTAGTTATGCGTTCAATAATAACTGTTTGTGCATCTGTTTGAAATAGTTTAATTATTTTCAATGGATTTTTCTTGGTGAATATTTCAAGATTTTAAAAAAGTGATTTTTTTTTATGAAGTTTGTGCAAATACTTTTCAGTATGTTGTTTACCAATATATCTATATTGCTTTTGCTTTCTCGCAGGAATGTTATAAGCTCTCCTAATTCTTTGAAACCGGTTTGAATTTCTGAAACTTGATTTCCGATCTTTTATGTTGATTTGTATTAATATTTTTATACTTGCTTATGATACTATATTTGGTCCATATATCTTTATTTTGAGCAGAATAATATTTATTAACTTCTCCTTTCAAATGTTACTTCTTCTCGCAGAAATGTGGTACCAATTTTTTTAATAGAAACAAAACTGTCTAAATATCACAGGAAGAGTGATCATTGGATCACCAAAAACTTACAAATTGTTTAAGATAGCAGGACCATCATCAAATTAGCAAGTAAGCAAGAAAACTATTAAAAATTTAATTAGTGGCCAGATGTGTGCAGGCTACTACATTGTGAGATCACAAAAATGAAGAAGATGAATTGACACAAAAAATTGACGTTCAATTTGTAAATTTGAAAAGTTGTTTATAGTTGCCATCAAAGTTAAACATAACTATTTATGGAAAATGGGAAAAATCCTATAATTTTCCGGGCTATAGAAACTAAATTTAATAGTAAAAACTGCTTCAATTTATTGATGCAGTGAATTTTATTTAAGAAATGACGTCTCTTGGAAAAAGTATTGAGGTGATATTTCTTTTTATCCATATGATTTCAGATTAAATTCTTTAATTTTCAGGAGTATGAGGTGCATAATCTATTAGGAAAAGGTGGGTTTGCCTCTGTTTATCGGGCAAGATGTTTGAATACCGGAACTGAAGTAGCTATAAAAATGGTAAGTATGAATGTTGAGTTATAAAAACACCCTTATTTAAAATTCATTACAGATTGATAAAAAGCTCATGCAGGCTACAGGAATGGTAAGTCGTGTGAAGCAGGAGGTTTCCATACATTCCAGATTGAAACATCCATCAATTTTAGAATTATATGAGTGTTTTGAGGATGTTAATTATGTTTATCTTGTGCTGGAGCTCTGCCACAAAGGAGAATTGCAAAAATATTTCAAGGAAAGGGTAATAATTTTTCATTAACAAAAATATTCAAAATTTCACTAAGATATTTATATATATCCATCCATAAATGTGTGAAAGAAATGTGAAAATACATTTCTTTCTAAACTTAGAATTACATAGGGTGGATTCCTGTAACAGGCTCAAGTCGTATTATATCGCAAGTTTAAAGTTTAGTATATTTAAAACACTAGGTAACGGAAGGTAAGGTTAAACAATGGCATGATTAATAATTTTATTTTTTGGCTTTTATGAATACATAAAGAAATAACTGAGGATAGAAGTAGTAGTTTTTGGTAATTTTTTCATTAACAAATATTGTCGTTTAAGTTTCATTATTTTTCATTTCAATAATTGTTTATTCATCAATCGTTCACTAAATAAAAACATCAAACAACACAATACTACTATTATTATAGAGTATATATTGCACGATAAAAATGAAAAGTGTGATATATCCATCAGAGATCACAATATGGCACTTTCTGATCACAATGCAGGAAGTGAAAATTGCCAACTTATTACCTTGCATTATTTTTCCTTATCGATATTTCCTTACCTTTTATCTAAAACATAAGTGTGATATGTCAATAATTTAACTTGGTTACCTTGCGTTTACATAAACTAAGTGTTCCGTCCTCACCCTCTTTTGTATTTTTGTACATTTATTATAGTATAGTAGTGAAATGTGTATCAAATTATATACAGTGATAACCCTTTTCTCGAAAATATTCCTCTCCGTCCCAAATAATTTCTTTCATATTGCCAGTTCTCCGAATTGAGAGGTTTATGCATCATAGTTAATCAGAGAAAGTGTACTCTCTGAGAGTCAATTCATGACCAAAAAAGAAATAGCTCGCAGCTCTTCCAAAATAGTGATTTTGTGCCCTCTCTCAGATTCCATATCAAGGTAGAAATTCACAATCTTGTTTAATCTCTCCCTCCTCAAAAATTGGATAAATGATCAAAAGAGCAGCATCTATATTCACAGTGCATTATTTTAACAAAAATCAAACACTAGGAATTCATGTTTTTGATTTGTTATTGCTAAAAATTCACAAGTCGGGCACATAGATATGCATAAGTATTTGAAAATAGTATATTTACACCCCCTATCCAATTTCTCTGTATAATAAAAAATATTTTGAGAACAAAACCCTCACCGCCAGAGAAATTCATTTTCCAAAAATGTTCTCCCCAACACAGAGTTCCACAAGGCTCTCCATTATCTTCTCATCTCTAAAATATATACTGTCATGATATATACAATCACAACTTGGAAGACAAGAACGAATTCAATAAAAACATTTACATCTTACAGTAAGTATGCAGATGACACTACCTTTCTTTCCCAAAAATTAATCACCCCTAAAAAATATAACCCCTTCAATTCACACTACCTTAGTTTCACACAACTGCACGCTAGCACTCACAATAGAGGAACTGCAAAGCCTCATCGACAAGACAACGATGTGGTTCAATAAATGGCGATTGAGACTAAACCCAGAAAAATTACAATTTATCATTTTTTATCACAACTGTTCAGAGAAAGTACCTACAATAAACATCAACAACGAAATGGTAAGATGCAGACAATCATCAAAATACCTGGGAGTTGACGTTGACCACAAAATCAACTTGAAAACAGATATACAAAAATGATTAAAAAAATGCACCAATAGAGGAAAACACTTTTGGAGTCTGACATTTAAAAAAAGAGGAATCAATACTTAAACTGCAACTGAATTATATTAAATAATCTGCCGTCCACTTCTCGAATATGTACACATCATTTATTCAAGTTGTTGTAATCCTGCATTAAATAATCTCCAAACAGCTGAAATATCCACACCAAGGAGTATTACCAAAATGCGTCTCCTTCAGAACATACTACACAATTCCACAAATGTACTGCTGTATGAAACTACAAAAGTGAAACCTATAAAGGAGATACTATAAGACATAGGAAAACGCTTTACAAAAAACAAAACTAACATGGATACCCTGCAGGCATTATGTAGGGAAAGAGCTGAAAAACAACCAACCAAATTCAAATACCTGGAAAAAACTATTTGGGAAAACATCAAATCACTCTCATTATTTACTAAATACTCTTTTCCTTTTTTCCACAATTTTATTATGTAAGCATATGTAAAAATCACTGTAAATATTTAAAAATTGTACACTGGCTGAAAGACTTCGTTTAATGGACCTTTGGTATTCAACAATAAATGACATTTATTATTATTATTAATATATTTACTCCTCCATGAATGTTGCCACTGAAAATAATGATCTAATTACTTAGAATTCTTACGACTTGGGACTTACGTGGGTGTATGAATCCATCTTCATAAATGTATATAATTTGATGAAATGAATCAATTAATTGCTATTAATCTAAATAGTCAATAGCACAAAGTATAAACAGAAATGTTAGAATGAAGAAAAGAGAAATGAAACTTTCTATGTTTTTTACCACTTTTATTTCTAACTAACGTTACTGCAGTTTCGTCCTATACGGACATTTTCAAACTTATACAAAGCTTATTATTCTATAAGTTTGAAAATGTCCATATACTGCAGTTTCATCCTATAAGGACATTTTCAAACTTATACAAAACTTATTATTGTATAAGTTTGAAAATGTCCATATAGGATGAAAGTGCAGTAACGTTAGTTACAAATAAAAGTGGTAAAAAACGTAGAAATATTCATTTCTCTTTTCTTCGTTATGATTTCCTACCACGTAGTAACGGCTACATCCATAAATTATTTGAAAGAAATGTTAGACTAGTCTATTTGAAACATTTTTGATAAATTTCATATTATTTTTGAGTAATTAATCTTTTCTATAAATACCTATGTGAAGGATTTATAATTTCACTTAATTAGTTTTTTTATATGAGTCCATATTTTAATTCATGCATGTAACTCAAAAATCCAATAACAACAACTTGTTCTACTTATCTTGAACCTTTTATAGTGTTTCTCGGAGATTGAAGTTAGTGGCATTATGAGACAAGTTGTAGAAGGAATTAAGTATCTTCATTCTTATAATATCCTCCATCGAGATCTGTCATTATCAAATTTACTGCTTACAAAAGATATGCAAGTGGTGAGTTATCTAGACATTCCTTGATATGTTTTGTTCTAACCTACAGTTTTCAGAAAATCGCCGATTTCGGGCTAGCCACCCAATTAACAAGACCTGATGAAAAACATATGACAATGTGCGGGACACCAAACTTCATCTCTCCTGAAGTTGCCTCTAGGGGGTCACATGGCCTAGAAGCTGATGTTTGGGGAATTGGCTGTCTATTATATACTCTTTTAGTTGGATCACCACCTTTTGATACCCCTGGTGTTAAAAGTACATTAACAAAAGTTGTGATGTCGAATTATAATTTACCTAGTCATTTGTCACCGGAAGCTAAAGACCTCATTGACTCTTTGCTCAAGAAAAATCCAAGGGACAGAATTACATTAGATCAAATTTTGGAACACCCCTTTATTAAAAGAGGAAGGGTAAGTTAGTTAAAAATCAATTGAATATTCCAATGAATCAGATACAGATAGGTCGGAAAGTCTTGTAGTATTGCATTGCATTGTAGTTATGTGCACTTCATTAACCTTCTAGTAGTAGCACAGTCTGTTAGATTGGGTTGGCACTGTATTCATGATTTTATGGAGAAGTTGTGATTACTACGTTCCAACAATCGAACCCAATATTTGATATGAGTTTACTACTGGTACATATATTTTTTCTATATAGATAATCTCTGTAAAGAGGTAATGAAAGATTAAACTAAAGTTAAAGGTGATGAGTTATGATGAAGAAGTGAAAGAAGTGGTCTATTATGAAGCTGATGAATATTACTGGAGTTTTATCCCAACACCAAACCGTTATTTTAACACCTCGACACGTGTTTCAATCACCAAGTGATCATCTTCAAGAAGAAGATTAAACTAAATATACATACAATGTTATCCTTATTTATACCATAGATACATCTTATAGGTACCTGCTTTTTAATTGTCTTTAATTCATTTTACAATGTTGCCTTATCTACTAGTCATAAATTAATTTTACAATGAGGCTTTATGTAACAATCTAATAATTAAAATATTATTTCAACAAGCTACATATTATACTATTAGGTATTCATAATATTATTGTTTACTTATTTCTACACTCTTGTAGGCATCTAGATGCCTGTGGTTGTTAATTGTCTAACTAATCTTAATGAACTAAAGTCTATGGAATGATTTTGTTGCAAAATATGATAGGCGACTGCTGATTTTTCTGGCCTTCCTTATATCTTATTAGTGACCTGCTCCGGTTCCGCACAGGTGCAATGCTGATACTAAATATAAATTCACCCACCGGAAATTGGGCATGGAGAAAAAGTGATGAAAAGGTAACTTGATTTTATTAACGCGTCTTTTGCCCGCGGCTGGTCCTCAGTTGAAATATTTGAAAATCCTTTCTTATTGCACATCAACAACATAAAACAAACCTACATACAAAATTTCAACCTCCGAAAATATAGTGGTACGGAGAAACAGTGATGAAAAGGTAATTTTATTCTATGAACGCGCCTTATCCACTGCGGCTGGCGTGCCAGTTGGAATATTAAAAAAAGCTTTTCTTATTGCATATCTACAACATAAAACGAACCTACATACAAAATTTCAGTCTCCGGAAATGTACAGAGAAATAGTGATGAAAAGGTAACTTTATTTTAAGAACGCGCCTTTTCCCTAGTAGCTGGTTCCCCAGTTGGAATATTTTAAAATCATTTCTTAGTGCACATCTACAACATAAAATGAATCTACATACAAAATTTCAGCCTCCGAAATACAGGGTGTCTCAAACTCGATCCTCACCATTGGGATCTCGGAAACTATGAGAGATACGAAGATGGTTAAATTGGGGTAAAGTTGCGCATTTACCTGACTAACAACAATATGCCATTGAGAAAGTTCTGAAATTCCCAGTATGTCCGGAGATATCCGGAAAAAACTGAAATTTCGGAAAATGGTTTTTATTTTTTTCAGCTTCATTTTTCGATGGGTTTGAAAATAAATTGCACTTCCACATTGCCAATTTTTCCCTGCTACATAATGATGTTTTCAGATTTAATATCCGACGAATTTCACTAGTTCGGACTTCCATTGTTTAATATATAAAATGATTTGAAATCCCTGAAACAACTAAGAAAAGAAGAATCAAAAATGAATAGCTGAAAATAGCAATTATATTAAGCAAAAATAACCTGAAATGAAATAATAGTGAAATAAAATACAAATAAAAATAAAACAATTGAAAAAATAAAAATAAAGAAATACAAAATGAAAATAATGATAAAAATAAAAAAGTTAAGAGATTTCAAACCAAGTTAGTTCACGACGTTTCGATTGTTAGTATCCACAATCGTCTTCGGGTTATTGTATCCTCCGAGAGATGACTATTTATGAGTCGTTCGAGTACTTTCACTTATCCCCGCTTTCCATTTTTTTCGCTTCAGTTGTTCAGTGGGAGATGACCGTTTCGTGGGAGTTGGCCATTTTTCGCTTGATGATGGGTTTCCATATGTTCCGCACTCACAGGGTATCCGGTAAATGCAATTCTTGGAGAATTGGAAACAATTCTGCGTATCCTTTCCGATAATCCTCTGATGTAGGAAAGTGCAAGCACTGGTTGTGACGGCTTATCTTCCTTGCTAGGCTCCTGCTGTCTTTTAGCCAAAATCTTTTCTTTGGAGTAGCCATTCCAGGAAAGCGACCAGTGCTTGCACTTCCCTACATCACAGGATTATCGGAGAGGATACGAAGAATTAGTTCCAAGTACAACATCAGAACCTGTAACACTATCCGTAGCAGCCTCACGAAAACCAGGCCACCAAACGCGGACTGCGATTCCAAGAATTGCATTTACCGGATACCCTGTGAGTGCGGAAAATCCTATATTGGTGAAACTAAGAGGCATTGAATGTTCGCATTGCCGAGCACAAAAAACACACTCAGCGAGGGAAAACCACCAAATCAGGAATAGCAGACCATGTTTGGACCCATCAACACAACATCGAGTGGTCCCAAGCTGAGATCTTACACAGAGAGGAACATTGGTTTGGGAGAAAATTCAAGGAAGCCGCATACATGTTGTAACATATGGAAATCCACCATCAAGCGAAAAATGGCCAACTCCCGTCAAACGGTCATCAACCATCGAACCAGTGAAGCGGAGAAAATGGAAAGCGAGGACAAGTGAAAGTACTCGAACGACCCATAAATAGTCCTCTCTCGGAGGAATTAGTCCAGTCATCACCCGAAGACTATTGTGGATACTAACAATCGAAACGTCGTGAACACTTGGCGTGAAATCTCTAAATTATTACTTATCATAGTAGGCTTTGACTTTGATGTTTCTAAATTTGACTTTCAATTTGTTACACTCAATGATATTTTGTTATTGTACAACTCATTAAATTTTTTGTGAAAAATGGCTTTCACGAATGAAGAAAAAAGAGATATGATATAAATTTATTACAAATACAATAGAAACAGTGTTATGACATCGGAAATGTATTTAAACATGTATCATGAAAGACGAAAACCACATCGAACTATGTTCAAGTTATTGTATCAAAATCTCACCAAGTTTGGTTCATTTGAAAAGTTGAAGAAAAAATATGGAGACAGAATGGACCAGGAAACTAAATAAAATTTGATAACTGAGGTATGTATGAGGTAAGTTAGACATTGTGTCCTTTTCAATAAAAATTAATAATTTGCAGATACTTGAATGAAGCGGTTTAAAGTGTTAAAAATACACATATCTCAAAAATTGCATTCCAGGAGATCCGAAAGGCAATTAGAATTTTGTAATTGGCTAATAAGAAGACCTGATTTTCCTGTTTTCCTGGAAAATGTAATTTGGACAGATGAAAGCACTTTTATGAATTGTGGGATATTCAACCGAAATAATGAACACATTTGGAGCATAAACAACTTCAGGTAGTTCCGAGAAATTCGACCTCAAGTGCGATATGTATTAACGTTTGGGCATTTATTTGACGGAATTCTGAATGGAAAAGCTATCACCAGTTTGGATGATCTACCTTTGGCTAACTATAACATCTGGTGATAATTGGATAGGGAATAATGGGCTGGTGAGGTGGCCAGCAAGGTCTCCAGACTTAAGAGTTATGGATACATTCTTACAGGGTACACTGGAAAATAGAGTTATGGTCAAAGGGAATATCAAAATATTGAGGACCTTCAACACAGCATTGTTAGAGAATTCGGACGATTCAGGGGGAGGGAAATTAATCGTGCAGTGAATAATATTCAAAGAAGGGCACAGTTGTGTTATCATGAACAAGGCCAGCATTTTGAGCATTTGTTATCATTCACTTCTGTCTTTACATTTTAGTTAATTATTGTTATTTGTTCATTTCATTGAAAAGGACACAATTCTAATTTACCTAATGTATACCTCATTTATCAAATTTTGGTTGTTGATTCTGTCTCCGTATTTTTTCCTCGGCTTTTCAAATGAACCAAATTCGGTGAGATTTTGATCCAATAACTTGAACATAGTTCGATGTGGTTGTCGCAATTCGGGATACAAATTTAAATACATTTCTGATGCCCTAACACTGTTTCTATCGTATTTGTAATAAATTTGTATCATATCTCTTTTTCCTTCATTCGTGAAAGCCATTTTTCACCAAAAATTCAATGTCTTGTACAATAACAAAATATCATTGAGTGTAACAAATTGAAAGTCAAATTTAGAAAAATCAAAGTCAAAGCCTATTATGATAAAAATTGATTTTGTTTAATATCTCCAATTTTTCGAAAAAGAATGATAACTTATGGGACATTATCGAAAAGGTAAAATCTGGTTCTATTCAAAACAGAAATAATCCAATATATCGCCCATAATAAAAAATAAAGTTGACGATGGTGGCCGGAAGACGAAACGTCGTATAGCAAATCTGAAAACACCATGATGTAGCAGGGAGAAATTGGCAATGTGGAAGTGCAATTTATTTTCGAATCCTCGAAAAATGAAGCCAGAAAAAATAAAAACTATTTTCGTAAATTTCAGTTTTTTTCGAATATCTCAGGACATACTAGGAATTTCAGAACTTTCTCAACGGCATATTGTTAGTCAGGTAAATGCGCAACTTTGCCCCAATTCAACCATCTTCGTATCTCTCATAGTTTCCGAGATCCCAATGGTGATGATCGAATTTGAAACACCCTGTATAGCGGTATGGAGAAACAGTGATGAAAAGGTAACTTTATTTTATGATCGCGTCTTTTTCCTCGCGGCTGGTTCCCCAGTTGAAATATTTAAAAATCCTTTCTTATTGCACATCTACAACATAAAACGAACTCACATACAAAATTTTAGCCTCCGAAAATAAAGCGGTACTGAGAAACAGTGATGAAAAGGTAATTTTCATATTTAAACGAGCTCCTTTTAACCCGGGGGCGTCCTACTTGGAATATTTGAAAATCTCTTCTTAGTGTGCATCTAAGATCTAAGAAGCACCTATATACCATTGTGACTTTCGCATTTATAAGTATGGATTTTAATAGATCTTTTAGTATGTCCATAATATTTTGCATCGCATTCCTTACGTTTCATTTTGTAAATTCCACACTTTTCCAACTTTGTCCTTTGGATTTTCTAAAAGGCTCTATAGTGTATGACTTGTTTTGAATTGACGGACTAGGTATGAAGGTGGTATTTAAAACAAGTCATACACTACATACATACTTTGGATTTCCTAAAATCCAAAATTCTTTTAAATTGAAATCAATATGGGAATGATCAAAAAGTATTTATCTATTTATTTTATATATATATATATATATATTTATAATATTATAGTTATCAAAACAACAAGACATCATGCATGTATAATAATGCTTCATTTCCACAAAGACAATATAAAATTGTATAATAAACTGTCATTACAATTAAATAACAGGAATGTTATCATAAAAAAAATGTGAAATATTATCTCGACTGAAACATTGTATTTTTTTTGATAAGTCTAGTTAAACCTTCAAAGTAGACAAAAAAAAGATACTCATCACAAAAAGGCAATCTCATGACCTCAGGACAGACATCCAGTAACTATCTATCTTGGATGAGAATGTCATTTGATCATTCTTACTGAAAATCTACATTGTTTTTATTATAATACTTACCTCTTCATAAGGCTCTCAATATTAAATGCTGTAAAATATACTTCTATAACACAACTGAGTGGTGTCTCACACTTTATATAAAAAAATATGAGAAAAATTATCATAACTCAGACTCTGTAATAATATATGAATTAAATTAATTTAGTGAAGGATATTTCAAAGTGAATTTGAAATGACTGTTTTCCCGCAAATGTTATTTTGATGAAAGTAACATTTTCAACAGCTCATCATAATGTAAGAGGTTATAGCTTCATTAAAGCCCAAAAAAATTATCTTTTTCGATAATATTCGATAATTCCAAAGAAATATTCATATTATGATAATTGATTTTTTTCATATTTTTTCAAGATCTTATCTTCTCATCATACCCATGATAGCGGGATCCACACAATGTCTAGCAAAAGAGACAGTACATATGGTGAAATCACATCTTTGCCTTATTCACATAATGCTTATTCAGACCCTCATCAGAGAAAAACAAACAGTGACTGCTTGCCCTTGCAAAATCACTATGGTAATACTCCTATATGTTCTGGTATGGAACAGTTGAAAATACGTAGTTGTGAAAACTTATCCCATCAAAATCCAATGATAAATTCAAGACAATCGGACCATGTTTCCGTTTTTTCAAATTGTGGGTCTCATTGCGAAGGATCGAGAATACCTTGTTGTCATGATAGTCTAGCTGGATTGAGTCAGTGTAGCCAAAAATGTAATCCCCCAGCAGATCCAGGAGGAGGTGAGTAAGAAAATGTTCAATTTGAAGCTTTCTCATCCTTCTTTTTTAACCTTTTGTAATCGACCATACCAAGTAATAATTATGAGAGTGATGATGAATAAGCTGGGATGCTGTGTTATGACCAGTTTGACTTTAGATCTTGATTTGGTTTCTCAAAAGTTTTCAATTTTTCAGTATACAGAAAGAGAAGTAGAAAGTCAAAAAGGGTATTTTCTTTTACATGTTCTTCAAGGAATATTTTGTGTTATTCAGTTTGTAATTTATCTACACATTTCCAAATATTTGTTGATTTTTGAGAAGTTTTCAATATTTTAGATACTGGAGTAGGAGTAGAAAATCAAAACGCATATTTTCATTTTATATGTCTTCGAATGAATATTCTGGGAGAAATATGTGTTCATTGTTTATTAGACCATACAGTTTAGAATAATTTTTCAGGTTTCTCGAATCGTATGATGTACCGACAGTCTCTTCACTCTCACCATTCTGACCCTTCTTGTAGTGAGACCACAGGAAAATGTCTCTACAGTCAAACTCCTAATTCACATTCATCAGGAGAATACCACTGCAAACCACAGGAAAACTTCCAAAGATCTCGGGACCCTAGCCCCTGTAATTATGAGAGATCAAGAAAAAAACTGTTACAAATATGTTCAAAACGACTTCTTCCTACTCGACATCAAACAAAAAACGCCATACTCAGTATTCTCAAAGACGGAGAAGTTTGCATAGAGTTCATCAAGAAAAAAGGTTATCACAAAAAAGACATGGTTTGTGAGGTTATGAGGATATCTCCCGATGGTTTACGCATAATTTTGTATGAACCCGAAGGTGGTAAGGGTGTTCCACTCGCAGAAGAACCTCCACCGTCGCCAGTTCAGGGGGCAGATAAGATTTACGGATTAGAGAATCTACCTGAGAAACATTGGAAAAAATATATGTATGCTTACAAGTTTGTGGATTTGGTTAGAGCAAAAACTCCCAAAATCACATACTACACTGAGAAGGCGAAATGCTTTCTTATGGAGAACCTTACTGATTTTGAAGCCTGCTTTTATGAGGGTAAGTTATTTTGGATTGCCTGAAACTATTTCATCAAGTTTATTTTTTCTTGAAGCTTTTGCAATTCAAATTATGAGCCTAAATTGGTTGTATAGAAGATCATACATTGAAATGAGAATTACGCACAGGTATATACAAGAAATTTAAAAATGAGAGTATATGTCACCCACAACCATACATTAACAAATTAACTGAACACTCATTTAAACTAATATAAATAAATTCACTTATATTTAGTTATTTGTCTTTTATCTTATAATATTGTGACATCGTCATTCAATGAATAGTCAAAAAGTGGATTTTGACAATATTCTTTTGAAATAGTATATATCATTTACTTTATCTTGTATTTTTATTTTCCTCAGTATGATTAGATTAAATACAGTATGCTACTTGAAAAGTATTTACAAAAAAAAACTAAAATCAAAAGATCTTTGCTTGCAGATTCCCTATCAATGGTCACTTGATGATGTTCCTCTGAAGAGTTTTCTGTTTTTATCAAATTTAAGTTTTATTTATTATTGATAATACTCCCTGTAAAGTGTCATCTATTTAATTCTTGATATATATCATATTTTGAAAGTTTCAGTCATTAACATGTATTTACTATGGGGAGTTGTGAGGATCATATATTCATTTTTTCAAATTGTACTTATAAATTTCTTGAAAAGATATGGTACCTACATAAATGAAATGAAGTAGTTCTTAATCGCTAAAGGTCAACCTATTAAATGTTGAAAAATGATAGTTGATTTATAGCGAAACATACTGGTTCGAATTAACAGATGGTTGAATAGTTGAGTTTATATCTGTCAAGAAAGTAGTTATTGTAATTATTGGCCTTTTCATGATCATTTTTTTTTGAATATTACTTTTCTATTTATCATAAATTTCAAATTAGCTATTACATTGATTTATAGGTTTTGAATCAGATTTAAGAGTTTGTCTCAGTGTTTTACAGCAAAAACACTTCTTTCCAACAGCGATAAAACTGACAGCCATGTCATTAACATCTAAGTGTTTTCATTCTTGTATCATACCTGACTCTCGGGGCCTAGTTATGCATCATTCCCACAATTTCAATCACTGTCACTGTCTTAATCAGATTGAACTGATGGAATGAAATATTCAAATATAATTGTGACTGAATATTAAAACTTCATAAATGCTTCTACAGAAATTCCGAGGTTTGATTTGATATTATGATAATAATAATAATTGTTATTAGTCTTTAGAAACACAGTTTTTAGACACATCAATACAATTTCTAAAATAAATTTGAAAGGATATGATTCGTCAATACAGTTTCTACATATTTACAAAAAACAAGTTGAAATGATACAATTTTAATGTTACAAAAATTGACCAAAGTGTAAAGCCATGAGTATTTAACAAATTATAAATCACATAACTGACATATTATATCGACTTAATGTTGAGTACAAGTTCAGGAGGCGACCACAAAACTGCCTCTTTATTCTTGAACAACTTCGAAAAATTGATCAATTTCATATAATCGATGTTTGGTTAATATTTTCTTCAATAAATTTTTTAATCTTCTCAATGGCAAGTTACGAAAATCGACAGATAAGGCATTGTATAGCTTAATTTCTATATTTTCTGACCTTTTTAACCTATTAGCTGTGGGAACAAGGTTTGATTTATTTCTTGTATTATGTTGATGTATATCCTTGTGAGAAACTTTATTTACCAAGTTCCGTTGAACAAGAAGCAGATTTTCAAAAACAATAACTGAATATAGGGTCATTATTTTAAGTTTTACAAATATTGGTCAACACTTTTCATCATAATTGGCAGAGATTATGCTTCTTACTGCAGATTTTTGAATGACAAATGTTCTATCAAGACACACCTTTTTTGCATTACTCCAATTGATTATGCTATACCTAAGGACTGAATGAAAATGTGAATGATATGTTGCAAATGCCATACTTTGATTTACTGTTTTTTTTAATTCTTCTGATAGCAAAAACTGTCTTACTGAGTTTACTACACATGCTATTTATATGGTCTATCCATTTCAGGTTAGAATCTATTTGTACTCTTGAAAATTTGATAGAATTTTTGTGATTTCGAATTAAGCAAATTGTTTTAAAGGTTAGTGTTTCTGTTTTTTGCATCATCTGCATACAATATAGTTTCTATGTCTGACGATTTCATCAAGCGAGGCAGGTCGTTGATATAAATTAGAAACAGAAGTGGCTCCAATATCGACCCTTGTGGCACTCCTCTTAATATCTTTCTTTTTTTCAGTCTTGGTATTTCCCAGATCAACAATTTGATATCTTTCGTTAAGATATGACTTCATCATGTCTAGGCAGACACATCTCTGTAGGAATCTAATTTGGCCAATAAGGTCTGTAGAAACGCTCACATATTTTTCTTGTTTATCAAAGGCGTCTTTTATACTATTTGTAAGAAATTTTCCTTTCTGAAACCCAAATTGATGAAGATTCAGATTATTTATATCAAAATATTTTACTAGTTGTTCGTAAATTATATGTTCAAAATAGCAGTATTGCTATCTGTCGAAAAGAATTTGTTTCTGATGTAACACCTTTTTTATGAATTGGCAGGATTCTACAAATTTTTAATAGTTAAAGGAAGTAACCTTCACTTAGACAAGTGTTGATAATATCTGTTGACGGTTGATTTATACATTCAAAGGCAATCTTTATGACTAAAACATTCACCCCATTTATATCTTCAGTTTTTTATTTCTTAACTTATTTATGATTATTCTTACCTCATCTGTCGTTACAGGCCAGTGCAATAGAATTGTGTTTATATTATCGATAAAGAAGTCATTCATCTGGCTAGCTGTTAGATTTTCTGGTTCATTTAAGATTTTATTTTTCCGACCTGTTTCGGATTTGATGATTTGCTACACAGTTTTGCTGTAATTATCTATCTTACTTGATATACTGTGGTAATTTCTTTTTTTAGCCTCTAATAATGTTTCTTGATATTGTTGTTTACAAGTTTAATAGATATTTTTATGTTGTTCATATGCATCACATGCAAGCATTAAAGTATCTCTTGAGACTGTAACCTCAGGACTGTTCTCTTTGATTTAAATCTTACTTTAGTGGAAAGCTAATCTAATATATAAAAATGGATGTTTGTTGGTTGGTTGGTAAGTGATAAACTTCGACATCTCTCAACCGATCGTGATGAAACGTGACGTGTATGAGTAATTTTTCATAGAGAAGGTTATTAGGCTATCAATTTTTCTGTAACTCGCCACTAGATGGCGCTGTGGAACACTTTTTTGAAAGCATTCTTCTATAATGCTGCGCACGCCTAAATTCGTTGATTCCGATTCTGTCAAAACATTGGAACAGCAGCGATACAACAACATAGTACTAGTGTTATAATAAAACATAAATGTGATTTCAAAGTTACTGAATTTTTCTTTAGCATCATTTCTTGTACATACACTGGACCAATGATTTTGGTCATATTTGGGAAATAACTCATCTAATAAAAAAAACTTTCACCATACAGGAAGAACCAAAAATTAGCTATCGATGCACGAGTAAACTACTCTTATTGAATTTAAAATTTAGAAAAATTCTATAAGCGAAAGTTATTCAGATTGACCAGAATATGGATTCATGAGCCTATGGGTGAACCCACCAATAATATTGCCCGTTTTTTGAAGAAAGAATGCGTAAACATAGCTTACAGAACGAATAATAGTCTAAGTAAATTTACTAAAAACAATTAAGACAAAATTTCGGTTTCAGATAGATCAGGAGTATATAAGCTGACTTGTGGCTCTTGCCCAAAACTGTATATTCGCCAAACAAGAAGAAAATTTTCCCAAATAATTAAAAAGCATAGCANTGTAAATGAAAAGACCAATTCCACATTTGCAAACCACCTTTCAGCAGAAGGACATGAGTTCAATCATGAATAAGATGTGTTACATTTAGAAAAGTTTGAAACTCAACATTCAAGAATGTTGAGAAATCAATAGATTCAAGAATTCGGGTAATTTACTCAATGATCAATTAGAATTGAATAACTCCCCGTTACTAAATGTTTTTCAAATGTGGAAACTGGTACAGGTACAGGTAATTTAATTGATTACAAACTCAGGTACACATTAAATAATAAAATGACCAGGCAAAAATCGAGTACTTGAAATGTAGGTACTTGTAAAATTGTAAAATTAGGTATATAAAGCATTGAATATGTAGAATATAGTTAGTAAAGACACGCCCGAAGAAGCCATTGTATGGCGAAACATTTGTTGCTTTTTGTAAAACTGTTTAGTGAAAAATCTCATAATAAAGTGTTTTTTGAATACGCTATTTCTCAAACAATAAATGTTTCGTCTGGGATTCCTCAAGGCAGTTACTGTGGACCATTGTTTTTCTATATTTTTGTCAATGATCTTATTGATCAAACAACCGACTCTACAGGATTACTGTTTGCTGATGATTTCAAGTTATATCGCTCAATTCAATCCGTAGATGAATTTCTAAGACTTCAAGATGATTTGAATCATTTGTATGAATGGTGTAAGAACAATTGTTTGGATCTCAATCTCAGTAAGTGTCAGTTCATTTGTTTCAATCGCTCTCAGTCACCTGTTACCTATGAATACTGCATTAACTCCCTCCCACTCAAAAATGTATATGAAGTCAAAGAAATTGGTGTTACATTCAATACCAAATTATCTTTTTATTTGCAAATAACTAAAATCACACTGAAATCTTTCAAACTTCTAGGTTATGTATAGGCGCATTCAAATTGATTTAATTTTTTTATATGTTTGTTCCATATTTTATCACTTGATATTTTTCAACTCCAATCTTTACTGTGTATATGACGATTTCCATGCTTGTAAAATTGATTTATCAGGACACTTTTATTGTCTCGAATTACTCAGTTTTTTGCCACCGAGGGGCTCAGTATTTTATGAATATCTTCCGAGACAATACCTTTCCTATTTAGATTGGAGTATCCTTGGGCATGAAATGAGAGTCCTTGAGATATCGTTCGGTGCATTTGGAATGTATATGCTTCAGTAGATATCATAAGGACACCCGTGAGATATCCGAAAAATATACATCTTCAATAGATGTCTTATGGAGGTGCAGGTTGGTTTTCTCTTGACGACAATTGGATATCCAACCCATATCAGGATTGACTGCAAAATTCCCTGATGCTAACCTTGTAATTCAAGACGTGTCTGAATTTCAGTTTATTATGTGTAACTGCCAGGATATCTGCAGAGGTTTTCCCTTGGAGTGTAACATGTCAAAAAATAGTGATATAATCTCGAAAAGCTGCGAAATTAACAAAAATATAAATATTAGCAGATCGTTCATTTAGAGTAAAAAGAATATAGATCCGATAATGTATTTGAGACAAATAACTTTGTCTTTGTTTTTTATATTTTTCAACCTTCAATCATTAAAATAATAAACTTCTATATAAAGGAAAAAAAATTAACAAATATCAATAGAAACATAACTTGTTTCTGTATAATTGAATATTTCATGTATCTTCATTTGTAAGTTATAATTTTTACAAATATTTTTTAATAAGTGAGCATTAATTCTGAAACTATTTTTAAAGGTGGAAAAGTTACTCAGTCTATAGCCGAGGGCATCACGATAATAGATTCATCTGGAAACAAGTACATTTTTCGTTCACCATCTGAATGTACAACGCTTACTGGGGAACTTGAGCTAATGTGGAGCCATACCCAAGATTCTCTTGACTATTGCATGCTGCTTGAAAAAACTCTGTCAAGCCTACCTCGAACATCATTTCCTGTTATTCTTGGACGCCGGCCAGCTTGTTACAGAGGAATTTTAGGAAAAGAAAACCAACCGCAAACTGTGATTGTGAGAGTAGTTTCATAATTTAATTTTTGTTCAAAGATTTAAATTTCAAAATATTTTTTATAGAAAGAGTTTTGAACACATTTNGAAGGCCTTTTTTATTTGTTAACGTAATTTTTTCTTACCAATTGTCTTCAAGGACTCAACAAACAATTTGATTTATGTATGATCTTTTGTGTTTTACTTTTTGATATTCACCCAATCATCATATATGAACTCATGATGAATTGCCCTGTTTTTGTTGGTACATCAAGAAGAGTTATCGTAATTTTATCTATTGTTACCGATGATTCCCTTTCATTACGTGATACAAAATGAAATGATATATGAATAACAAAATTACTTATTTCAGCGTTATAGTAATATATTTATTGGTAACCCATTCCCATCCATGATTTAAGAAAAGATTTTAGAAACCCTTCCGGCAAATTTATGCAAAAAATTATTCAATTGAAAAAACTGCGAATATCACAAAACTAATGGTTTTTCTGGCATTGTGAAATGAAAAATGGAATAAATAACAAAAATAGTTTTTTTTCCATTGTTGAACTTGAGTAGTGTAATAATAAATTTGTTGATGGCATATTCCCCTCTATGAGTTGAAATAAGTTGTTTTCAGAAATGATAAATGAAGAATATTTCAACAATAACTTCAAGAATTCTTTACCTGGGACTTTCTTTCTACGGTATGTAAATTATATTCAACTTGTGAAATGTGATAGAGACCAAATTAGCGACGTTTATTTATTTATTTTTTTGACAACTCTTTAACTAACTTGTTATTCGTGACTACCATAGAAGTACCAGTTTAGGTAAAGTACCTTCTTTCTAACAATACTTTTTAATGGAATATTATGCTTCTATATTATTTTGTTGGATATTAGAAGTAAAAATATTCTAAAACATTTACCATTATGTTAAACGACTTAAGTTTTTTCATTTCAATCCATTAAAATAACACGACTCTACAAAATAATTTTCGCTCTTTGTCCTAAAGTTTATTTTATGATATTCTGCTGAACAAAAACGAAAATACCTTTTTTTGGTATAAAGTTTGCTTTTGTAATAGTTGTAAATATATATTTTAATCATTTTTAATACATCAGAGTGGGGTTTTAACGTTCACACCTTGCTGATAGATGGCACTAGAGTGATAAACAACGATCAGGTGTTTTATACAAATCTAGAATAACTTAAAATGTCGTCGAGAAAGTGTAAATATGATGCTGATGCATTTTGTCATATATGTGGGCAATTTATTAGAGATTGAGATGTAAAATACAAATTAAATACATCTTACGTTCTCTGTGAAGCCTACGAAGCATATTTTGACTGTCCGGTGCGGAACCAAGACATGGGCTCCACATGTTGCTTGTAGTTATTGTAAAAGATGTTTGGAAGGTAAGAAAATCTTAATTAAATGGTGAATTAAATATAATAGACATATTAATTTCTATTTCTATATTTTAGGTTGGTATCGAGTTGAGAAAAGGTCTATGAAATTTGCAATATCAAGAATTTGGTAAGAACCAAAAGACCACGTTAACGACTGCTACTTTATAAAAGTAATTCCAATAAGGAGTTTTTACCGACACCAGAACAACCAAAACATCATTTCATCACTACAGAAGATTTTAATGATTTGGTTAGAGATTTAAATTTGCCAAAACGTAAAGCAGAGCTTTTATTCATTGACAGCGTCACAAAAAGCTTAAAAGCTGTTTTATTACACAACGGAAATGAATTCCCATCTCTTCCAATCGCTCATTCAGTACATCTTGAAAATTATGGAAGTGTTAAAATTTTGCTTGAATCTGTAAAGTATCGCGAGTATAACTGGCAGCCGATTGGAGATTTTAAAATAGTGGGATTTTTGATGGGACTTCAAAGCGGATATACAAAGTATCCGTGTTATTCGTGCTTATGGGATATCAGAGCGGTTGCTAAGCATTATACTCAACGGTCATGGCCTGTAAGAACAGAACTTTGTGTCTGGAAAGAAAACGTAAAATTTGAGTCAATTGTTGAAGCGGAAAAAGTGTTAATGCCACCTCTGCACATTAAGTTAGGGTTGATGAAACAATTTGTTAAAAAACTGGATCAAACCTCAGAAGCTTTTGAATACTTGAGAAAATTTTTTCCGAAGTTATCAGAAGCAAAGTTTAAAGCTGGGGTTTTTGTTGGTCCGCAAATCAGACAGATTTTCGCCAATGAAAAGTTTCCAACGTTGCTGAATCGTACTCAAAAAGCGATTTGAAATTTTAGGAAATAACAAATCCGAAAACTACAAAAAACTAGTTGAAAATATGCTGAAAAATTTTGAGGCCATGGGCTGCAGTCATTAAAAGTACATATGCCGCATGTTCATTTAGATAAATTCAAAAACAACATGGGGGCGTATTCAGAAGAGCATGCAAGAAGAACGTTTTCACCAGGATGTTATGAGCTTCGAACAACGTTATCAAGGCCAATACAATGAAACTATGATGGGAGACTATATTTGGGGTTTATTGAGAGATAGTACCTATGAACATAAAAGAAAAAGTAAAAGTGTACACTTTTAAATTGTTTTCTACTTTTTTGTGAGTTATTTTGATAGTAAAACTTGATAAAAATGTTCATTTAAATGGTTTCATTTTCAATTAAAAATTAAAACCACAGATTTTGAAAAATATCGTTCAGTTTCCCAAATAAAAAAGCTAACTTTTTCATGCAGTATATTTTTTCCGTCTAATTACGACCTAAAGAAATGAAATTTAATGCTTTGAAGTTGCAGTCAAATTTTGTGTTGATCCGTGTAATTTCACAAAATGTTTTTGATAAGATTTTTTCAAACAAATTTTCAAGAGCAAAACACTCAGCAAAAATATCTATGTACAGAATGATCTACTAATCCAATTTGAAAACTTGTCAGCTGATGAATCCTTCATTTACTTCATACTAACATTTATAACTGTTGGAAGTGATCAAAGACATGAAAATTGAAAAAGCAGCAAGCTACAATGATGTTTTAATGAAAATTTTCGAAAACCTCCTGATAGATGTTCTCGACACTCTTGTGTCACTGATAAATTTCATATTTCATCTTCTATACTTATAAATGTCGCTCAGTCATTCGTCTCAGTTTCTCCGTACTGGTGAGTCCTAGGAAGCTAAAATTTTGTATATAGGTGCTTCTTTAGGTCTTAGATGCACACTAAGAAAGGATTTCAAATATTCTTACTGGGGCTCCCCCAGTGGGGGCGTTTACATATGAAAATTTCATTTTCATTGTTGTTTCTCCTTATTGGAATACTTTCGGAGGCTGAAATTTTGTATGTAGGTTTGTTTTATATTGTAGATGTGCAATAAGGAAAGATTTTTGAATATTCCAAATTGGGGCGCAAGCCGCGGGGGAAAAGGGCGCTTTCATAAACAAAATTATCTTTTCATCACTGTTTCTCCATGCCCTTGAATTTCCAGTGGGTTAATTTATATTTAGTATCAGCATTGCACCCGTACGGAGTCGGGGCAGATCGCTAGTAGTGGTATACTCCCCTCATTTTTTTAAATATCTGTAGTTCCGTGTTGGGAATCACACGTTATAAGGTAAGATCTCGTTAGTCCTTAGCTCGCACAAGTTCTCAACTTCTGAGAGTTGTCGTTCGTATGGGGGCGACAGCTGATAAACGGAAAAACAGAATTTAAACAGTTCCTGTACACAAAGGTGGCAGTTCAGAAAAACCTTCAAACTTTCGACCAAATTCCCTTATACCTACTCTCGCAAAAATTATTCAAAAAACAGTTCCATGAGTTTCATGTAGCCCACAAAGTAATAAATGAGAATCACTTCGGTTTCCAAAATAATATAACACTCACGACGCAATTTTCTCTTTTCTAAATATCAACATCGGCGATATGGCCGCGGCAGTTTTGTCGCGATCTCACAAAAGCATTTGACTGTCAACCACAAAATACTCCTGAATATGTTGAATCGATATGGCTTCAGAGGAAAAACGCTTGAGTGGTATAAGACATCTAACGAAAAGTCAGATGGTGAAAACAAATGGATTATCAAGGAAAATAAAAATCGATCCAGGCATTAAACCAATCCTCTTTCCTCTATATGTTAATGATTTTTCAAATATTGGCGTATCTGGTAAACTGTTTTTGCATACAATACCAAATCTTGTGCCAAGTGAATAGCCTGTATAAAAAGATCGTGACATAGACATAACAATTGTTAAGTCTTGGTGTGAAACTTGTTTACATTATTCACCAGATTTCTCTGCTATTAAGATCAAGTATGTAGTATTTTTGAAAAGGTAGCTGAACGACTTTTAAAATGAGGTATCATTCAACCTCCTTTCCATTTAAGATTGTGTCCGCTCCCGCTAGTAGGTAAATAAAATTTAATTGAAAACTAACCTACAAAATGCCCTTCTTGAAAATAATATCGACGTGTTTGCATATTTTTAGATTTTCTAAAGGAGCCGAAATATAGAAGGGGGCTTGTTTTCAAATTGACACAATTTGTATATAACATACTTACGTTTCAATTAGGTAATCCAAGTCGTTATGTTAAAAACCGTCATCATATCATTACACACAAAATCACATATATACTGAAAAACAATAATAAACAATGGCACGATTTTGAAATCCAGTACCCCACCAAAATATCAACATCCGCTACCATAACTTTTGAGAATAGATGGCGTTGAAAACAAAAAGAAGCGTTAAGCGATTTTCGGCCAATTTTTTTCTTCGAATTCAAATTTAATCAAAGCTCTGCCGAAACAGACCAAAAAATAAACTGTTCGACGTTGGTTTACGAAATTTTAGAATCGAAGGTGAGCTTCGAAGTGGTCGACCTACAGTAATCTAAGACGATAATCTGAGAACCCTGGTGGAGACTGACCCATCAAAAATGGTGCGTGGGATGGCGAAAGAACTGGGTGTCAGCTCCCATGCGGTTTTCGATGGTTTAAAACAGAAAGGTGAAAAAGCTCAAAAAGTGGGTGTCCCAGGATTTCGAGGTATATTCTTTTTTAATTTTGCAAAGAAGAATATACCTCGTTTACATTTCGAAAAGTAAATCGGAAGTTTTCGAGCGGTTCAGAGACTTCAAAATGAAAGTTGAAACTGGAACTTGGTATAAAATCAAATGTCTTCATACAGATAATGCGAAAGAAACTCTATAAAGCATCAAATGAATATCGAATGTGCCACTCAGCAAAACACAGTAACTGAAAGAACTAACAGAACTTTAGTAGAAAAAGTGATGTCTATGATACGAAATTACCCCAAGAATTTTGAGCAAAAGCACAAAAAACAGCGTGCTATTCAAAAAACGGAAGTTCTATTATTTGCCTTGAAAGAAAAAATCCGGAAGAAGCATGGACTGAAATAAAACCTGACTTGGAAGCTTTACAAATTTTTGGTGTGTGTAGCACATATGCACATTCCAGAAGGAAACTTAAAAAATTGGATTCAAAGTAAAAAAAATGTTTTTCAGGAAGCTGTGATAATTCGAAAGGCTACAGGCTTATAGATATGAACACAAAGGAAATAAAGAAATCGAGAAATGTCATCCTCGATTAACAAAATATTATGAAAAGAAACCAAAGAAAGATAAACCATTTTATGAAAAACGAAAACGAGATTCGGAGATATACAGAAGAACAAAATGTACAAGAGAACATGAGCGAAAAAATTATTCAAATAGAAAGTAGATACAAGTACACAATGTTGAAGAGCATCATCAATCAATACAAGAGGAAAATCGAAGGTATCTTGCCAGATTTGAAAGCTTTGTTATATCTGTAGCTCCAAGTATATAATCATCCAGAGATCCATCTATTATTAGTGAAGCTTTATCCCGATATGATGCTGATCACTGGAGAAAAGCTGAACAAAGAAATTCAATAACTTGCAAGTGGGTTTTGAAAACCAAACGAGATGATAATGGAAAAAATTTTCAATATAAAGCCAGGTTGATCATGAGAGGTTTTTTATAAGTTTGTGGAATTGATTATGATGAAACCTTTTCACCGGTTGTACGCGGATCAACATTACGTAACTTAACTGTACTCACTGCTTTCCTACATATAGCTCAAAACAATCCAGCTTCTTCTGCAACCAAAAACTAGTGAGAGCTTCAACTCGTTCAGCACAACCAAAATTCGATGTTTGTGTTAATTATTATTTGAATGAAGGAAACCTACGTTGATGATTTAATCATTTTCTCAAATAATGAAGAAACCAAGTTGGATTTCAGAGAAAAATTGATCGAGCAATATTAACGACCTTGGAGAACCAACTCATTGTTTGTGTATAGGAATTCAGAGGAAAAGAAAGGAAAGAACAATTCGTCTGGATCAAAGAAGTTACCTGGAACAACTTTTGAATCGTTTTCAAATGAATGATGTGAAACCCGTGAAAACTCCAATTGAATGTGGGAAAAAAATCTGTAAATATATGGAACCCATAAATGGTAGAGAGAAAGCTGAAATGAAAAATGCCACATATCAAATGGCCAAATGCTGATTGAACTGAAACCCTGGAAAAGAACACTAGACAGCAGTGGGTATATTGGCGGTGCAATGGAATATAAAATTTCATATGAGAATACTGATATAACCGATGTTTTTGGCTATTCAATTGCCGATTTTACTGTTGATATCGACGACAGAAAATCTGTTAGCGGATACATTTTTAAACTAGCCTATATGCATTCAGTTGTTCTGGAATGAAACAACAAACTGTTGTCTGTTCAACCACAGAAGCTGAATATATAGCGTTAGCACTTGCAGCCCAGGAAGCTCTGTGGCTAAAAGTGTTGAATCATGCAAGACAAAATATTATAATTCAGTGTTCATATAGAAGTATTTGTTTCGAAAGAATTATTTTCTTTCGTGTAATTCAATGTTTATATGAAAGTAGCTGTTTCAGGAGGACTTTCTTTCAGTTTGTGTCTGAAAGTTACTTCTTTGCATGATCTACACATTCATGTATAGAGTTTCAAATTGATTACTTCCTTCCTTTCTTTGGAAGATTCTCTCATCTCTTTTTTTTTTGTATCAGATGGAGTAGTAGAAAGCCAAAAACTTTCTTTCCCAAAAAAAATATAGGTATAATGTTTAGCATCATTTAGTTCGAGAAGCGGTGAATAACAGATCAGTGTGCATCTATAAGATCTCCACTGAAGAGATGGTTGTGGATTCACCTACCAAAGCCGCCAACATAATGAAACACGAGTTTGTATAAATGGGGAGAGGATCAAGCCTTAAAATAATGAATATTGATGATCCCCTCATCAAGCGGGTGGGAGGTTGTTATTTGTCGTTATTCATGACCTCTATTATGATTCGCAGTTACATATGAAAATGACATACTGTAGTTAGTTGTCAATGTTATTTCCAGTAAAGTCAGTTTACGATTTTGCTTATTTTTCCACTAACCTGCAACTATTTTGTAAAAAATGTTCGACATGAGAAATGATATGGACATAACTTTGTACACATTTTGATAGAAGGTATAATAATAAAAATCTTTCGCTTGTACTTTGTTGAGATCTTCAATTTATGATCCATAATGTAAACACTTTTTCACCTAATATCAATTTATTCGAAAATATGAACACCATTGAAAATTGAAATGCCAACTTGACAATGTCGAGCTGCGTCACTTGAGTTGTACTCAGCATCATTGTGAATGAAATGCTGAAATTTATTGGATCTCTTCATTGTTTCTTTATCAAGAATACCGTGGATCACATTTTTGACAATTAGGAGATCTTGCACCATTTACTAAATTTATCTTCAGTTATCTGTTCTGATGTTGGGCCAATATGTTTTTTTAAAATTTATTACATTTTTTTTAATGAATGGTGAGATAAGTCGGCACCTCTGGCAGCTGGGTAGCTAAATACAGAACACCAGCAAATTTCACATGAGTAAATAAAATTGCTGCAGTGCTTTTGATACACAACTGAAGGTCGACCATGGCCAACACTTGTGCTTTCCTTTCACTCAATTCTTCGATCATTGTACAAGACCATAGTCTAATATAATTAACTATCGTGCTAAAAGAAGTATGAATAAAACATAGTTCTGTTTTGAAGTGATATTGATATTCACTTCATTTATGCATTATGCAGCGATACATTTTTTCATTTAGTTTGTCAATTCAAATCTGGTATTGAAGACCATCTGCCACATTAAACGAATAGGGCTGTTAATAAAATTTGTGAAACAGTTATGCAAATACTTGATAAAAACCTCGTACACTGTCAACGTCTGAAAGTTTTTGACAAGAATAAAATAAAAAAAATAGATTATGAATGATATCAAATGTGAGTAAGCTACAAGAAGTAAATATAATGCTATTAAAAGCAAAAGGAAAACTGAGTGTGGATTCATACACCCAGTCTCAGGACCTAAGAAATTGTTTTGAAGGAAAATATTTATATATGAACATATTTATTACTTTATATATAAATATTCATATCCTTGTTAACGAATTTCAATTTTTAGTAGTATAAATGAAAAATATGACTACTTAAAACTGGTGACAACCACTCAAGCTGGTACATGAATCCACCTATATAATTATAAAACATTTAAACCATTATGAACTATTCTTCATCAGCCTCCAAGTTGATATGACTTCCAAATTTTCCATAAAGGTGAGACTTCAGTTCACTCATTGTATCCTTGATTTCACTTGATTTCATCTTCACATCATTCATTTCACCTTCAATTTTCCTTTTCGCCTCTTCCAAAGACAGTTGAGTTTTTTCAACATTTTGATATATAAAAACTTCTCCTACTAAATAAGGAATTTGTTCATCATCATCAAAGAGAGCTATTTCGTCACATGCATCTTCTAGGCTTTTAAGATCATTTTCTTTCTGCTTGATTTCAATTTTATAGTCTTCCAGTTTGGCGTTTAACCTCGCGAAGCGATTAATTTTTTGTTGGTCTTCGTAAGTAATGTGAACATCTGAATCTGGTTGAAAAGTTCCTTTATTAGTCGAAGACATTTCTTATAACAGATAAGTGAAAACCTTCAATTTTTACTTCCCACGACCACAGCCCACTACTTTACAAGATCTAGATTTACATAACCCTAATATTTAATCTGTGCCTAAAACGTGAAGTTGGCTGACTTGCGTGAAGTTAGCGTCGGACGCCAGCGTCCAAATCTAGCGCCCGCCCCCACTTTTGAGTCCGATTTACACCACACATCTAGTGGAATGTTGATTCATAAAGATCGCTAATTTAGCAAACAATAGTTTACATGATTAGTTCCCCTTAGAATCGACTTCAAACTTGAAAATATTATTATACTGTATATAATAATAGTGGGGTTATGAAAAAAAATCACCCCTCCCACATCATATGTATAACTTTTTCCTTCTTGAACTGACTTGCATCCCCAAATGAGACCTACTGAGAAATGTTGATAAATGAATGATATTCTGAACTCCGAATTTTCAATCCTTCAAAATACCGGGATCCTAGAAAAAAAACACCCCTTCCACATTACATGTATAATTTTTTTTTCTTCTCAAACTGGCTCATGTCCCATGTCCCCGAATATGACTCAATGGGAAATGTTAATGAAGGGATGATATGCTGAACTCTTGATTTTCAGTCTTTCAAAATACCAGGACCATACAGAAAAACACCCCTTCCACATTAGATGTATAATTATTTCCTTCTAAAACTGGCTTGTGTCCCTAAATATGACCTAGTGAGAAATGTTGATAGAGAGATAAACTGAACTTTAATTTTCAGCCTTCAAAATACCGGCATCATACAAAAAATTCCCTTTCACATTAGATGTATAATTTTTTCCTTCTTGAACTGGTTTATGTTCGCAAATGAGATCTACTGAGAAATTTTGATAAAGAGTCCTTCAAAATACCGGGATATTTTTCTCGAGAGAATTTATCTGGTTGAAGTTGGAATGATTCTGCAACCGTGTTATGAATCACACGTTAAAAGGTAAGACCTCGTTAGTCCTTAGCTCGCACAAGTTCTCAACTAATTTAGTATTGAATGTGTAGAATTAGTTGAAAGACACGCCAGATGAAGCCATTGTATGGCGAAACACGTGTTGCGTTTTTGTAAAACAATTTAGTGAAAATCTCACAATAAAGTGTTTTTGGAATACGTTAGATAAAATCTCGATAAGTTTAGTGTGGTTAGAATCCATTGTTTTTTTTATTTTTCTAGACAGTTGATCGTCATTTATTTTGAGTGAATTTCTCGACTTTTTGTCTACACGAGTGATTATAATCTTCAGGAGTGCTATGGGTCCTTTTACATCTGAAAATATTTTGAGAAACTCACCGAATATAAATGACTGCCAACAATCTCGATAAATGACAAATACTTCTAAAATATCATATTTCATTTCTATTTCAGCCTTCTTTCACAATTTCTATTGATGCAACAAATCCTGGATCCTGTTTTGGTAACACTTCCAACACAAAAGAAAAACGCGTTACTGTACCAGGAATAGGCACAGCATTTCAACTGGCAAATGGTGAAGTGCAGGTTCGATACCCAGACGGGTCTCAACTTTGGGTTGATGGTAATTATGTTCTATTTTTTTATTGCTCTCATTGTGCCACATTGAATTTTTATAGACAAATTTATGATATTAAAAATTAAATTTGTGGTATGCATACATTTGAAGAAAAAGGTAGAGTGACATTTTTTCAAATCACTTTTTCTTTCATTCATCCATGTTTATATAACGTATACCGAATATTTCATTTTTACAGAAGGTCTAAGGGTTCATTTGTTCTTGTTGAAAATAAAAAAAAATCCACAATAATTTTATTGATATTGATTATAATTAATATGTGGTGGTGGTACTATTGACTTGGATATAATGAATTTATAAAACGTGGACACTTTTTTCAACCACATTATTCTTTCAGGTAAACATCATATTCGCTATCAGTATCCAGAAGGTCGTGTGGTCAACTACATGGACAATGAAGTTATTCCCCGGGTAATAATGGAAAAGCTCCAACAAATGCCTAAAATTTTGAAACATCTAATGCCAGTTCCTTCATCTCACAAAATACAAAATCTCAGATGATGGCCAGAGTGGAAACTAATTTTAAGGAAAAAATGTAATAGAAATAA